ATATATATATATATAATATACTTACATTGTGCTCTTGTAGGTTTTTTATATTTTTGCGATAAATACGAATTCTTTTTTGTGTTATATAGTCGCTTTTGATAACGTCTGAGTTTATTACGCAATTTACAAACATCCGTCATATGAACTTTATTGATGTTCACAATTAGCTGTACCGGCTGTACCATTTCGCATGATTCTGCGGAAGCTGCGGCAACATCAGAATTCACTTCAACATTTTCTGAAGTTTGTAATGTAGTAATACTACCAATATCAGCAGAACTAGTACTGGGAATATCTGCTGCAATATTTGCACATGATAAATACAATGTAGGCATTGCAGTGTCCTTAAGACGCCGCTTCTGCCCATAAGGTATTATCATACTTTTAGAAAAATGTAAGGAGCAAATTCTTAATTTGTCCTTTGCTTCTTTTGTTGCATCTGTAACAGAAAAATACATATTGAAACATATTACTATAAGAAATTCTTTATCATGTAAAATATATATGAAAATTATCAATATGAGACTGTCATTTTATCAGACATTTTTATAAATTATTGTAAATAAAAAAATACAAATATAATATTAATTTAATTTTTTTATATATGTAGAATATTCCACATATATTATAATTTTATATATTTATATATTATTTTATATATTATAATACAATATTATTAATACATATATCAATTCTTAAAAACTTACCAATTACATCACTTCTTCCGATTGCTCTCAACCATGCCTGAGCCTTTATTTCATCTCGTGGCAACATGTGAGCAGGAACTTTTGCAGATGATGTGCACCCTGGCACACAGCATTTCCACACCATTGTAGTTTTTCTTAAAATAAATATATACATTATAAATAAATACATTAAAATAAAAACATATATAAATATATCTATACTAATATATACAAGCAACGTTGTGTTATATAGCTTCGGGGTGGAGATATATACACAAAAAAAAATATATATAATATTAACACACATACTTACACACATAATAATATTGTATATAACAATCATATGTACATGCAACACAGACAAATACACATATTTTGCATGGAAAAGGATTAAATTTATTTATCATATATATTATATATTATATATAATAATGTGTATAAAATAAATGTGTATTTGTCGGTGTTGCATGTACATATAATTGTTATATACAATATTATTATGTGTGTAAGTGTGTTAATACTATATTTTTTTGTTATTCCCTTGGTTGAAAGGAACTTAGTGCCTTCAGCTCCGTCCTGGAGCTATATAACACAATGTTGCTTGACCTATGTATTTATTCTGCTTTTTTCATATTATTTTGCCTATTCTCTTAGACTGGAATGTGTATATGTATGAGTATAAGTGTAACTGTGTGTTTATGTCCGCGATGTGGTGACCTCGGGGTACCATAGATGCGTTAAGGTAAATGTCCCAGTGGCCGGACACATTGAAAAAAATACTTACTATTTATTTGAACAATTAAAAATAAAAATAATAATCAAACACTCAAAAATTAATATATATTATGCGGACAAGCAAGATCCAATCCTGACCGTTTACGGCGTTTTCCCTTGTTTGATTGTATCTTACACGGTCGTATAATCTGATACTTATTGTAAAAATAATAATTATTGTAAAAAAAACTTTAATATTTAACGATTAATTTGGAAAAAACTTATTTTCATTTTTAATTGTTCAAATAAATAGTAAATATTTTTCTCCAATGTGTCCGGCCACTGGGACGTTTACCTTAGGCCCAAGGAATTGCGCGGATCACTTCCCCCTGCGGCCGTGTTAATATTATAACATGCAATTACCTTGCTTTGGCTTGCTGACTTGTTCTCGCTGTATTTTGCTGTCGACGGGAAAGTGCCGGGAAGGATCCGCGACGACCGCGACGTGATCGCGATCGGAGAAAGGCGGTTGGCGGCCGAGAACTCGTGTACTCGTGTAAAGTGGGCCACGCGAACCAGAAAGTAACGAATAGAATATAACGGCCGAATAGCATGCTATCCGACAAGAAAACGTGGCGTCTAAGAAAAATGTGATGCACAATCCAGCACAACTGAGCACGACAACCGACTCAGGAAATGTCAGCCATAAGACCGTGCCAGAAACTATCCCCCACTCCATGTCACGTGACCGATTTTAGTTCCATTTTCCGGGTCATGGTGTAGATGGCGATAATGTACATCCGTCCTCCGTTTTAGCATGGGAGTTTGTACCCCCTGCGCCACTGCCTCGGGAATGGACTCCAAAATCTGCGTGCTCGCGATACTCTCGAAGCTGCAGTCTGCTAAATTGTCTGCCTCCCTATTGGCTGTTTCGACGGTCTCGATTGACGAGTTCTCCATGCCCTGATCCCCGGCTGCTGCTGTTGGTTCGCCGATTGGCTGGCAGGTACCGCCGCTGCTCTCCAGGCTTGACGCTGGAACGGAGCGTCTAGCAGCCGATTCCAAGGTTGTGACCGGACTAACGAATGAAATTATGAAAAATTATTAATTAAGCCACTTACTCGGGCTGATAATTCGGTCGCCACTGTATTTGAAGCCGAAACACAGAAAGCATTCGTGTTTGCGTTGCTCCGTCCTTTCGTTCAGCAACGGCTGCCGTTTTCTACGTCGCGTTCAAGGCCGTTGGCCACGCCCTTGTTATGCGAAGCGTACTCTACGGTGGTGTGGATAAGATATGCACTGGGGTCGCAAACAATCACTCTCGGATTATTATAAACAAATAACAATTTAATAATCTTGGTAGGTGCTAAATAATTCGGCTAAAACCGATAAACGCGTAAAATTGCCTGAGTTTCCCGATATCGCGCAATTAATGTCGTTACAATTAACTCAATCACGCTACTGACGCTAGCGGATACGCGTACGCGGATTTTTTATGAGCAACACGATACGATGTTACTCGTCCGACGGATATTCGCGAACTGTTCGGGAGGAACGATCGTCGTTCTCCCACCTTAGCCTCGCGCATGCGCCGAGCCCGTCATTTAGGCGCGAAGCCTTTATCCCGCGCGGTTCTCCCGTTGGACGATCGTACCACAAGGTGTAGACGGTACGACTCCACTTGCACTTCTGCACTTAGATACTCTGAGTCGTTGTCAGGACTCAGCACCTACACTCTGGAGATTTTACACTCGAGGTAGAACGACGTGAACTGGCTATCGCTCGCTCTGCCGTGCGTGAACCAATCACGCCGTCGCAATGACGAAAAACGCGTAATCGCGCAAGGAGTCAATTGATTTGCACCGAGTGACTACTGAATAGTCACATTGACGACGCACGAATCTCTAGGTAAGTATACAGATAATTTAACCCGTTTCTAATCTCTTTTTATATTTCAGGTACCCAGGATCATTGTGGAATCGTTTCGTCTCATCACCGGAACCGGCGTACATAAAGGTAAGTATAAAAAGTAAGTACAATGTTCTTAAAACTATCGCACGCATAATAATTGTGACGTGACAAGTCGCGTCTCCTTCCCGGACGGGCTCGGCCGAGGGGAATTCGGGGATGCCTCCTCGTTAGAGCGAGAGAAGGGCGGTCGCGTATTAGTAATTGGTCTAATTAGTTGTTAAGTTTTTAAAGGATTGCCAGTGGTGACCGGAGTCAACCTGTAACGGCCGGGAGCCGCAACGAGGAAGGGCAGAGGATTAAGGAGACGGCCAGGGGACATGGCTGGAAGTCGGATCGCCCGGACCTCCCCGCAAGTGCATGAGCGTCGCCGGCCGGAGTTCACCCCGCACTCGGTCGTAACAGCGGCAGTATAACGATCTGGAAGACCCCGGGTCACCCCCGAGCGAAAGGCCAGTCAGACCAGGGTGCCGAGGAGCGGCCCAGGGAAAGGCGCAGCCCTGGGGCCGTCACCCCGAGGGGATGCCGGCGGACGGGGCCGAGGCCCGGCCAGCCTGACCCCGAACGCCGACTCGATCATCGCGGCTCGGACAGCCGGTTGAGTCGAAAAACCCGCGCCGAATCGGAGGTAGTTGCAGCGGAACCGCCGGAAGGAGAAGCGCGCGAGAAGCTGAGGCGCCGACGAGAGCGCCCTGGAATTGGAGTGGCGTCCCCGGAAGGAGCAGCGCACGGACGGCCTAGGCGCAGGAAGCGCTAGGATCGGCAATCCGGTCGAGCGACACGCTACAGCGCAGGCGCGGGGAACCGGCGCGATCCCGGCAGGCCATCGTTTCCGACACTGTCGTGCCAGCTAAAGTACAGGACGCATCTCCCGAATCCCGAGCTGCCCGGACTGCCGAAGGGACGACGACACATTGTAAGGTCACCACTCTGGCGTCCCCGCGTTAAGAAAAAGAGGGTTTGCTCGAGGCATCGGCCCATGGCACACATCGGTTACCTGAGCGCCGCAGGATTACCTGTGGACAGCGAGGTCAGAGCGTGCGTTACCTTGCGCTCGCATTAAAGTAGAGTCGGGTGGAAATCGTGCCACGGCCTTGCCGAGAGTGAGCTCTCTAGTGCGTAAAGACCAATTGTGCCCTCCCCGCGAGCACCGCCACGGCCGACAGTCGCGTGGCGTTGAGATATGTGAATCGGATTAATCGGGTCGAATTGTGTAGCGTCTCGTTGAATTAATGTAAGTAATCGTATCGCGTTTCATTGTGATAGAGTTTATGTTTGTAATCGTGTTGCGTCTTGGCCATAGTATTGTTACGCCCGTGCTGTACGCCCGTTCCGTGCGCTCATGCGGGTCGCCCCGTAGCGAGAAGTCGCGAATCGTCCTTAGCGACGGCTGTGTTATTGATAATTACGTCTGTCAGATTTCGCTCCGGGTTTCCGTCACGATCGGACGTGTTAACCCGAGCTCCGTGTATAAACAAATCTTCATTAAACGTGTTCCTTTTTATATAATAACGAGCCTTATTTATTGAGCGAGTGCCGGAGTGCGCGTCGCGAGTGTGTGCAAGAGCGAGAGAGCGGCTAACGCTCGGCGAGCATAACAGTATTTATGTTCGTAATCGTGTCGCGTCTTGGCCCTATTATTGAGAGTGATGCCTTGCGTGGCGATAACGGGAGCAAGTTGTGCGGGTAACGGCGAGCCGCGAGTGGTCATGTAATTTGAAGGGC